TATTTGGATCAACAATGAGAGCAAATTTTCTATCGCATTCTACATCTGATATCAAATTCAAAAGAACGTCAACCCCTCCGTGTTTAGAAAAAAGATGGCATTGATCTGGATGTATTAACATCATATGAAACCAAAGGAGAATGGGAGAGCGGTGGGTGCTGGTCTTTATTTTATTTTTTAATTTATAATTTTAATTAATTATTAAATAGTTAATTAAGAGTTAGAGGGTAATTAGAAATTATAGGTAAATTAAGTGAATTAGTAGTACCGGGTTGTTTCCAACAAAAAAAAATTAACTTAGGGTTTTTTTTACGATAAAGCTTTTAAAATATTTTTTTTTTCGCAAAATGTGGCATTTAAAAGATTTTTTTTTGGCAAATTTTCCTTTTAACTAAGGTAGTGCGCCTTATTTTTATTTATTTCAAAAGAAAAAGAAAGTAGATTAGATAAAAAAAATTATGAACAAATTAGATCAGGAAAAAATAAAGAGAAAGAGGAGATAGAAAGATAAACCCCTAGATACCCAAATTTTTCTTATGCTAAGAATTTCTAATTTTGATTTTCTTTTTGTTGGTTTTTTTAGTTGTTTATTTATGGGCTAAGAATAAAAGTCTGAATCTGTTTAGGAGTTTAAAGTTGGTCATAAACTTCCTTAGACAAGTCTTGTTATGCGGTTTTGGCCCACTCATAACGAGTTTGTACCAAATCGGGTGTGTGGATCGGATTCGTATCAAATCTAGTTAAGAGTCTTAAGATGAGTCATATCGGATTTGTCTCATGAAACATTTGTTTGTTCATGCAATTTTAAGAGTTAATTTCTTTGATTTTTAGGTTGTTCTGTCATGTCGGATTTATTTCAAACTTTAGAGCTAAGCATATGCACTTGAGCACTTGTATTGCATGCACCATGTATTTATACTTTAGAGTATGATCTACTGCACATGTACAGAATTTGGATTATAGTCGGATTAATAATAGGTAATTAAGGGTATGATCCATCTCGTAAATGATTTAAATTGTGGGGCATATCATATTAACTTAAACTTAATCACATCTAATGGAAAATTGTGCTCTAGCTAAACTAAAGGGATGGAATCATTTTGGATCATGAGGAAGTAGAGTCTTTTTTTTTTTTTGAAAGCGAGTATAGTCTAATATAGCCACACAATGGTTTTAACTAGTATGATTATAATGGATTTGATTAAAGTTGCTCGAGCAAATCTCTCTGTTTTTAATGCATCAGTTTTATCAGCACATTTGCTGAGACATAACTTTGACCATTAATATCTTTAATTGTTTATTAATAAAAAATGTAACAAAATTAAATTCTATCCATATTTATTATGATATTTTTTTTTAATATTTAATAATACCTTTTTTTCACAAAATACATAATTCCTCCATTTTTATTTACTTACAACACACTACTTTGACACACACTTTAAGGGAAATATTAGACTAAATAAATGAACAAATTAATCAACAAAATTATAGCGTCAATAAGAAGAAAGTGATAAGTTGTTACAATTTAAATTTTATAGCATAATTCGTCCGTCTACATAATCTAATCACTTTCGACCTCATACAACATGTCAAAAAGGTGTGTTGCATGTATGAAAAACAAAGATAGTATTATGTTAATAATTTCCTTACTACCCAAATTAATAATGCTCCCTTTGTTAGGCTAGTTAATTTTGGTTTTTAGCTTAGATCAAATTTTATAACCAATTATATTAATATAATAATGCATTTAAATATCATATTTACTTTAGTGTGATAGCAGTAGTTTTTTTCCATATAGAATTCAACTTACTAGCCTAACAAAGAGGTAGAACATTATTAATTTTGGTAGTAAGGAAATAATTTTTTTTTTTTGAAGACACATAAGGAAATTATTTAACATTAAATGTATATTGAAAAAAGTAATATTATATATAATAAGTTGATATAAAATATATTATATAATAATATAAAATATATCATTTATACAAAATATATTATAAACATAATATTATAGTGAATATGGACTAAATATTCCGCAAGATATCTTCTCCTCCCCTTTTTATAATATTATGACGGGTTTCTATATTCTTTTTTATATTTTCTTCGTTACGATATTTACAACTTCTGCTTCTCCACCTCCATCTCCTTTTAATCCTTCTCCTCCCCTTTTTATAATCCTCAATGGGCTAAGGGGATATGCATAGCCACAACATGCAACAAGGTCCCAACAACCGGACAAGGAATTGTTGTTGAATCATGCAAAGATTATATTTGCTCTAAAAAATTGACTATCCACAATATAATAGATAACCAATAATAACTACCATTTGATATAAAACTAGGTGGTCGATATACTCGAGATTCTTTAAAATTGTATTACAAATTACAACTAATTAAATATAAAACAATACTTGTTTTAGAACTATATTTTTTTTTACTTGCTAAAAACACAAACAAAAATGGTTTCTAATTTATTGTTTTACTAGGTTAGGTCCTGTGCCATGCACGGTAATTTTCAATAACTATTCTTTAATTAACATTATATGTAATTATAAAAAATTAAATCTGGCTAAGTTATTAATATGTAAAATGAATTTATTATGAAAGTCATGCACGGTACGTTATTTTAATTACTTTTGACAAATTAATTTATTTATAGCATAAAATATAAAAATTGTTTAATATCTTGAACAAAATTGAAGTAACATGGAATATTTGATCAAGATCATATTCTTAAAAAATATTCCACCAAAAATACATCTTCTTGAAAAAGATTATATATTTCCTTATTATTCCGTAATTAATTGAGTATCAACATAAAAATGGTAAATATTATTGCACATTTAATAGGTGACAAAAACAAACTTTTTTTTTAAAAAAAAATAACTTCCTTAAATAAAATTTAGTAATTAATTAAAAAAATACACTAAGAACACACCAGAAATCGACACGTATCATTGCTGGTGTGTCTTTTAGTATATAGTTATTGATTGATGATTCTGTTCATTACGATATTTACTCTTTCTGGTTCTCCCCCTCCTCCGTCTCTTTCTAATTCTCCTCCTCCCCTTCTTATAATCCTTCTCCCCCATCATTAGACTTCGCTATCTTGGCGCTATAATGGCTAAAGGGATATGCAGAGCCATAATATGTGGAATAAGGTCCCAACAGTCGGACATAGATTCTCTTTACACATTGGATAGATGCACCTCACTACTTCAAGACCTAACAATGTAAGTGCATTACAGGTAGTATGATACTTGTATTATTTATACAAATTGTTACAATTTTAATTATTATTTATACTCGTATTTTTTTAAGTAATACAAATTATTATAATTTTTATTATTTATACCTCATGTAATATGGTTTCTTGCAAATGACATGGTCATATATTGGCCAAGATTTCAACAAAGTAACATCAAGTTTTGGAGACATGATTGGAGAAAACATGAGTCTTGTTCAGGCTTACCACTCGTAACTTATTTTCAAAACAACATAGATTTGACACGAAATCACGTACCCGCAATTCTATCAGGTCTTGGAATGAAAGGTAGTGAAGTTTACAAAACATAGTTGGTATCTACTTAGATTATTAGAAGTGTTTTATGTTCTAATTATGTCCTTTGGTTATAGGTCTTAAACCTTCTCCCACTATGACATATACTTTAAGACGGTATTTGAGAGGGATGTATGATTATTTTGTATACTCCCTAGTTAGAATTATATTAGTTTAGGTTATAATTAATCAGTAAGATGTAATAAAACTAATAATCTAGTTATTAAAGCAATTGATATGAATTTTTTTTCTCCTCTGCGTTCTGAATACTTGAATGAATCTTCTCTTCTCTAACTATTTATAATGTGATTAATGTCTATTATATACAGTACTCCGTAATTCTTACCCTTTATTAACTCCGTATTAATTTTGTTAGCCATGTGTTAGTTCATGTACTTGTAATTCTTACCCTTATTTACTCCGTATTAATTTGTTAGTCATGTGTTAGCTTATGTACTCCGTAATTCTCACCCTTTATTTATTCTGTTATTTTGCAATCACTTTTTTACGCTTATAACACAAATCATTAGTAAGCAGAATAAATTAGCTCACCATGCAGGATATTTTGCAATCACTTTTTTTTTTTTTTTGGTTTATCGACGTAAACATGCAATTAGAACCTATTATTTTGAAATTTTCTTTAATTATACCAACGTAAATTGGTAACTATGAAGTATTTTCTAAACCATGTTGGCTATTGTTTAGAAATTAAAAAATTTATAAATTAAATGTAATCTTGTGGCAAAGGTGGTGTATATTCTGGCCAATCAGGAGGCGAAGAGTGGGTGACTGACTTGAGGTGGATCAGAGGTGGGGTGTATAATTAAAAAAATAAAAAGGAAAATCTCGGTTAATATCCAATATTAACGCAATAGGCTAATTTTGCAATGACCATAAATAAAAATGTAGCCACTATAATGTAGTGAATCTCAAGCCTCCAATTGATAAAATTTATCTTATCCATTCATTAGGTCGTTGATTTTCGACATTTAAAACATCAGGGTTTCTTTTTTTAAATTTTATTTTATTACATTTACACTAAAGTCTTAATCCGATTCACTTACATTTACATAAATATTCAAATATAAAAAATACTTTAGTCTTCATGCTTTTCTTGATGAAACTTCTACTGCGAAGCTTCTGTTCCCAAAAGGAACTTCTCTAGATATGACTTGTACTTCAAAGCACGATTCCTGCAAAGGAGCTCTTTTATTGATGAGAAGCACTTGAGAAGCCTATTACTCTCTTCATACATAATACATCACATATTCCTAATTAATTTGAGCAAAATCAACTACTTGTTCATGAAGGGACATCTTCGTTGTATATTAATCGTCACAAATCACATTTTAAAGTCCACAAAATTAGATCCACAAAACCGGCATAACAAGATCTCGGAGACATTGACATTGGTAGGGCTCAATAAAATAGACACACATGTATGTATGAATACAATATATAAACTGTGAAATTCAATCAACTAGCTAGCTAGATTGCTTGCAATTAAGTGCTTCCTTCCTTTCTTTAATTATCTTATTCTCTAATCTAAAGTCTATCATATTGATTTTTACTTATCAAATTGAGTAGGGTTTTTTTTTTTTTGCCCCAAAATTGTGTACGTAGGAATTAGGATAATAGATTCGTACCATTTTTTATTTTTATTTTTTTAAAAAAAAATAAAATACTAGCTTTTTATAAAGGTCAAGAGCGGAACAAAAGGTTGTCACATGAGTACAGGGCCAAGAATAAAATGTGCAAGGGAACTAGACAAAATTTTGTACAATACTAATGTATGTATATATAACAGTTTGATAGAGTATATAAATCAATCTTGAGTTTTGAAGATTGTTAAATTAAGTACCTCTAATTAGAAAAAATTAAGTGTGTCTTATTGCAAAACACTATCCACCTATCCTAATTACCTAGATGCATGTTCTGATATGGTTTTGTTTTTTTTCTTTCTTTCTTTAGTAATTATTTTCATTTTCTGTGCAATCAATATAATTTGATATAGTAAGAGTGTAAGACACTAAGACTACACATTTAAGCTGACATGTCTTTTTTTTTTTCTTTTTTCTTTTTTTTTTTTTTTGTCACATGATTTAACTAATTTTCCTAAAAGTTTATAAAATTTCTTGTGTAGGTCATAGTTTGTCATTTTGGTGTTGTCTTTTGTTATTTAACTCAAAATTCACTTCACTTGCTGTAAGCCATAATATATATTTTTGTATATACTAAGATACAAAAATCATATCCTCTTAAATTTTGAGAGTATGCAATTGCTAGGTTGAATTTAACGTCTTAAATTGTCTTGGATTCTCCCTAAGAATGAAATGAAGTTTATTACTTTCTTGTTATGGCATGCATTCTTTCTGCTCCTCTTCTCCTACAATAATGGTAATGTATTAGCCTCGAGTAATTTTCGATTATTTTGTACTCATTGGTCTAATATATAATCATTAGTGAGTTTTTCATTGTTGTATTACAAATGTATTAATCCATATAGAATCATAGACTAACCTTATTGTCAATTGTATTATAGTAGTATTGTTTACTTTTACTAAATTTTCTGCTTTTTAATTGATGCAGGGGCTATCATACAAGCTTTGAAGTATGATTATTCAGCAACTACAGAGGTACTAAACTCATTGGAATGTAGACAGTTTTTTTTACAAAAATCCGGCTCTTACAATCGAGTTTTGATATCCTAGGTTGAGAAGAAGATTCTAATACAAGCATTTTTGTTCATTTTTGTATGTTATTTTGAAGTGTTTGGAGGAAGCTTGGAAAGTTCAATATGGTGGAGGGATCATACAAAATCCAGAATTCGATGATGGTATCGAAGAATGGACTGTTTTCGGACCAGGGAGGATCCAAGAAAGGGTAACAAAAAGTGGGAACAAATTCATCGCGGCTATTAACAGGACACATCCATCTGATGGCCTTTCTCAGAGGGTTTTGATTGAGAGTGGAAAACTTTATGCATTTTCAGGTAACATGAACTAACTTCATTTTCTTAGGAATCATAATTAAAGAGATTTGATTAAGCAAGTTAAACTTCGTTATTATAACTAATTAGGAATCATATGTTGTTGGTCCGACACAAAACTACAAAAGTATTGGGTGAGACTAACTCGTAGTTCAGTAAATTGTTGTAATCCAAGTGCTTAAATGTTCGTTTATGGAGGCGTTGATTTAAATTCTTCGAGAGTAGATTCGTTCTACATACAATCATACTATACTCGCCTTTGTCGTTGTCTTTCTCCTCCATATTTCCCTGCCTCCTTTCTTTGTCTCTTAACAAGTATGGTAAATGCATTGAATCGACAAAAATGCAAGGACTTTTAGTCTCTTAGCTAACTAGTTGGTTGTTCTTTTGTATTCTTTTGAAGATTATAATTGTTTCCTTTAGTGGTTTGTTCTTTTTTGGTCTGTTACATTTTTCCTCAATCTTATGCTTTACTATCTTTATTTTCTTGATACATAGAAGTGTTATATAATCTCTCAGTTGGTAGTCTATGAACATTTGTTCACTTAAGTCGCGAATAGCCTTTAAACCTTCATTTTCCGTCTCAACTCATAAACACCAAGACATCATTAGCTAAATTAGCTCATATAATACTAATTAGCTACAAATCAAGCAATTGATCGAAATTAATCCAGCCATCACAGATTTCGTACATTTTACTTGTTAGTTTACATATGACATGCCACCAGTTTCATGCAATATAATTCATTCTCTAAATTAGAAGATTTAGATCATAAATTTTTGATAAAATTATAATCAGCCTGAAATTTAACAGCATGGATACAAATAAGCGAGGGCAGTGAAATTATAGCTGTTAAATTTAGAAGCCCTTGTGGTAAATATCTCCATGGCGGCACTGTCATAGCCGAGCAAGGATGTTGGAGCATGCTTAAAGGTGGCATCGTTGCAAATTTTACTGGCACGGTTGATTTAACTTTTGAGGTAAAAGTACTGCTGTCAAAAATGATTTTCCTAGGAGAAATAATTTTTGTGTAATTTTGAGAAATGGACCTATTTTTATGCTTTAAAACTCTGCATTATGCAAGTTTCTAACAATTGTATATGCAGACTAATAACACATGTGTTGAAGTCTGGGTTGATAATGTATCGTTGCAACCGTTTACTAAGAAGCAATGGAGATTGCACCAAGAATCAACCATTGCAAAGGTATAGAAGGCGAACAAACTTGAAGTTGTATTGGATATTTACAGTCTTAATTATCAGTTTTTAGTAGAGTAAAAATCAGGTAAAGAGAACGAGCTGAGGCTGAAATCATTCATGTAGGTGAGAAAGCGAAAGGTGAAATTTCAAGTGACAGACAAAAAGAATGCAGCAGTAAGAGGAGCAAAAATTACTCTGAAGCAAACAAAGGCAGGTTTTCCAGTTGGATGTGAAATGAACTTGAACGTCCTAAATAGTACAAAGTACCGAGATTGGTTTATTGCATCAAGATTCTCAGTCACTGCTTTTGGGAACGAAATGAAATGGTATTTCACAGAAGAAAAGACGCGAGGGAAAGAAAACTATACCATTCCTGACGCGATGCTACAATTCTGTGAGCAGAACAACATTGATGTTCGAGGTCACAATATCTTTTGGGACGATCCAAAGTACCAACCCACTTGGTTAAATCTCAATATCAACCCAAAGAAGTTGGAAAAACTAGTTGAAAAGAGGCTGAAATCGGTTGTTTTGAGGTATAAAGGGAGATTGATTCATTGGGATGTTATGAATGAGAACTTGCATTTTAGGTTCTATGAGAATAAACTTGGTAAAAATGCTTCAGCAGAGATTTATGCTAGAACTTACGAGCTTGATCAAAAGCCGATTTTGTTCATGAATGATTATAGCACGATAGAGGATAGCGAAGATGAAGAGTCAATGCCTGCAAAATATGCCAAAAAGTTGAAAAGGGTTGTTTCATATTACAAGGAAAGGAGTAGTGGTAATAAGATGTTGCCTATGGGAATAGGGTTAGAATCGCGGTTTGCTCCTGGTCAGCCTAATTTTGCTTACATGAGAGCAGGAATAGACTACTTAGCTTCAATGGGGTTCCCTATTTGGCTTACTGAAGTCTTTGTTGATAAAGGCGCGAACCAGGTACAATCACTGACTCTTGTTACAAGTCTATTAAACACATATTATATACATATACTTCTTAAAAATTAGAATTTGTGCTTATTGAGATCAGGAAAAAATATAATCTATGCATTTGAATTCTTTATGTTCACTGATAGCGCGAAAGAGTGGCAGAGTGCATCATCTCAATATTAAGGAATACACATAATTTGTGAATCTGAAATCTTTATGTTCTAATATGTAAAGCAACAGTATTACACATATCAGTGTATAGTATGTGACAGTTTATATGTCGAAAATTGTTATAAGCAGGCAGAGTATCTAGAGGAAGTTTTGAGGGAGGGATACTCACACCCTGCTGTCAAAGGAATTGTGATATGGCCTACTTCGCCGTTTAGCAAGGAGTGCAAAATGTGTTTGATTGACATTGATCAAGACTTTAAGACCACACCAACTGGAGATGTAATTGATAAGCTGATCGAGGAATTGTTGAGCTCGAAACCATTGAAGATTTCAACCAATGGACATGGTTTTTCTGAAGAAGTAGTGCTGCTTCTTGGGGATTATGAAGTTACTGTAAGGCACCCTGAATCAAATTCTTGTACTAAGTTGAAGCTCAAGGTTACTGAAGATAAATCAGCAATGTTTGTGAATGTTCAGCTTGATAATAATTAGGGGTGAGCAAAACCGGGTACCCGGTCAAAATTTTAGGATCCGGACCCGAAATTGGTTGGAACCGGGTCCTAAAATTTGGAACCGGTACAACCGGGTCCTAAAATTTAGGAATTGGAATTGGTTCCACCGGGTACCGGTTCCGATTTTGGGTACCCACTTATATATATAAGTGTTGAAATATACAAATCATAATATTTTTTTTGGTGTATTTTTACTTTTAGCTTTTAATACTTATATTTTTATATACATTAAGCTATTTTAATTATATTAAATATTAATATTTTTTTTTTTTTACTAATTAGTTACATTCAATATATTTTTGTTTTTTTAAATATATTTTGTACAATATATGTTGGGTAACCGGTATAGTAGAGTGGAGAGAAAAATCTAGAAGTTTTAGGGTTTTGTTTGATAGTGGGTTGAGAGTTTTATAAGCAATTGGGCTTAGAAATTAAAATGGGCTGTACATAACTCTTTAGTTTCTTAAAAACACAAACAATCCACATACAATATCATATACAACCGGGTACCCAGTGGGTATCGGGTCCAAAATTTTAGGATTTGGAACCGGAACCGGTTACAACCGGGTCCGAAATTTTGGACTAGGTCCCGGAACCGGTGAGACCAATTCTAGGTCCGGACCCGACGGGTCCTAACCGGTTCCGAGTCCGGTACCAGGTACCCTGGATCTTTGCTCACCCCTAATAATAATAATGTATGTGTTCCCAATGTTAATAACTAAATTTGGAAATTTGAATTGTAGACCATGTTGCAATACTCAGCAAATAGCAAGTAGAATTATAGCCATATATTGCATAAAACAACTTGCATGGATCCGGTCCACATTCTTAGTACTAGAACCGAGAATATTTCAACCCAACTAAATTCTACCCAAATGAATCTTGCCTATAATTGACTCAATTGTGCTCAAATTGTTCTGATTTGTTCCTCAAAAAAAAAAAAAAAACAAAAAAAAAAAAAAAAAAAAAAAAATTGTTCTGATTTGAAACCCGATAGTCACCTTTAATGAAACTGGTCTAAATTATCATGCTAAACAAATCTTCTATATGTGGAATCCACAGGGACAATGGTTGATTAGTAATGTATATGATGTGTATAAATTTAATAGATATGACTAATACCCAATTGGTTAACGGATTTTAAAATTTGAAAATTGAACCAAAATTTATGGACAAATTTTGACTTAATTCAAAAATAAATGTTTCTTAAAAACAATTTTTTTTTTATTAAAAAAATCAATTTTCTTTTATTAAAAAAATATCATCGGACTAGAACAGAGAATCTCTCAACTCAACTAAACTCAACTCTGAAATCAGCCCAAATGAGATTTCCATGCATTAGTTGCTCGGAGCAATTCTATTCCACATGATTTAGAATAATACAGCACAATAACATTATTAATTAAAGTATGAAAACATTAAAACACCTTCTTCAAAAAACCTATAAAGCAAATTGTTTTGTCTTAAACTGATACTGTGATACATAGTTCACACTTATAAAGCAAATAGGATGTCTGTTTAATTGATATTACCACATACTTTAACAAATTAGGCAAAAGTTTTAGCTGCTCTCTCAAAACTAAGTAAATAGGATGTTTGATAATTAATACAATAGGGAATATTTATAATATGCGAGACAATCCGAAGTTCCAAACCACAATTTGAAGCAAATCCATATAGTCCAGAACATGAGATGATGCATTATAAACTCCGGATCACTCTCCTTGATAGAGGGAATAGACTCTCTACATAGCTAAAGCAGTTACTAACTTTTATATTCAAATCCCGAAACTGGCTTGTTCTGGGATCATAAACCCACAGCACGTTATCACCGAGTACGACCAGAAGAGTTAATTTCTCCCTTGTCAACGTATTTTTCATTACTTTCAAAATTAAGCCAATTCCTTGATTTATGCTCAATAAGTCAAATTGCCTTTAATTTAACTTAATTGGAGTATATAAATGCTAGCCATATTTGGTCTAATTTGTGACCAGATTCGTTGTATCTGGTTCACTCTCATAGCTATATAAACATTTCCTTTACACACAGGAAAAGTGGGAAAAAAAAAAAAAATTCTCTCTGTTATTTTTTTATGACCTCTTTTTCTATTGAGCATTGTTCAAAGGTGTTTTCAATCTAACTCTGCGTAGTACACCGAAGAGTTGGAGTCGTGTATCCCTGGAGGTCGATTGCTACGAGTCCGTGTGTACCTGTGCGGGGCAAATTCGACTTTAGGGCAGTGATCTATTTTCACGCCACGACATTTTCTAGATAAGTCTTTTAAATATTTAATTGCTATTAGTCATATTTCCTACAATCTAAAGTCGAATTTTTGTTTCATTAAGATGGCTAATAGTGTAAAGGTTTTGATGCATAAGGAATTTTATCAAGAGTTCCTAATTTGGGGCTATATTGTTAGTTCCGATCCTTTTACATCCATACTTAGAAAAATAATTGTTTGGTGGAAACTAAAATCTTCTTCAATTTTCTAATGCTTATTTAAATAGTATAGTTTTGTATTGAATTGTCTTCTTGTCTTAAAAGTCTACTGCTAGTTTAATTGGCATGATTGGGGGTATTTCTCGCTAATAATTGATAATCTCGGATTAAGAACATAAGCGTACAATCCATGTACTAAGTAGTAGATTAATTAGTGTTATGATCCTTTTGTGTACCATCTGTATCATGGCTAGTTTTTCACCATAAGTTGTGTAGAGTTTATTTCTATAAATTGTATTTTAATTAGGTGATTTGGATACAAGATGGACCTTTTCGGTTAGTGATTTGTAATATATAAGTGTAATCTTATATCATATAGCTTGGGGCTAAGTGCGCTACATACTAGTTAATTTATACTTCTAATTATTTCTTTCTTAAGAAATTGCCTTTAATACAATCAACTTTTCATGACCCATATATGGAGTATATATATATATGATTTGAACATAAATGTTGACTCTATGATGGATCTTTATTTGCTATAAATTACTCGTAACTTCTTTTTGAGTAGATAATTTCTCCAATAGTGCTTTATTATGGTAATGATATTGTGATTTATGAGATATTGTGTATTGTAATCGCAATATTTTTTGGAGGATGTATTTTGTAAAGTAGCAAAATATAATATGATTTGGTTTTATGGAAAATGGTGAGTCATGGAATCAATTACAAGCGTGTAAACTGCTCTTGAGCAAGTGATTGATTTGGTTTTATTTGTTTCCTAATGATTGAGTTATTGACTTAGTGAAAATATTGAGAGAAATATTATCTTAGTTCCTCACTTGTAATTATGTGATGTCATTTTGGGACTGCTAGCTAAATTAAGTTAGTTGAGTATATTACTTACATATTTCTTATTTGGGCAATTAAGTTCAAGTGTGCATCCTTATTCTTGAATTATTGAATTATTTTGCTGGTAACATCAATAATCCACTCTGGAAATAATCAATTATCTTTGTCAAACTAGCTTATATACCTAATCAGCTTATGTGAGCCTTCTAGTGCTTGTGAAACCTTGTCTTTTGTTGTATATTTTTGAGGTGTACGATAATATGATTTGGTTTTGGCAAATACCTAGGGTGTAGTGACTAAGTGAAAGGCTTTGTTCGGTTACTATTTTATTTGACAAAGTTTGCTAATATATTACTTATACAGTTATACTACTCGAATTTTGAAATCTTCTTAGAATGCTCGGGCATGTTGATTCTATAATTACGAGTTCTTAAATGAATTAATCAAAGTTGTGTGATCAAGGGTGTGGGTACAAGTTGTATCGCATACTATAATTCGTCCACAATGCTAGGTGGCAAATTATTTTCTTTCAATTCAAGCTTATTATTATTGGATTTTAACATATGTACATACATTTCTAATTTGCCCTTTTACGTAGATTAATACTGTGTGAGGTGTATGGTTGTGCATTGTGGGGGACGATGAATTTGAGTCTAACTAATAAGTTAATTATCCTGACCCACTTTTGTAAAGGTGTAGAGGTGCAATTTATCTTTCGAAATTGAGTTATGTTTCACCTTACTAGATAATAGCTTGATCACTACTTTACTTTGGGTTATTTCCATTTTGAGTCATGTTGTCTAGGGAGGTATGTGCTGTTTCACAAAATAATATGGAATTATGAGAACTTTTACATATTGGAATAATAAGAGGGAATAACCTTAAAGGTCTTTTAAATAGCCTGTGTTTTAACTTTTGTTAATGTAACCTATGTGCGGATATTAATTTTTCAGCTCGTTATGTTGGCCAATGGTACATCTCACGAGAGTTTGTCTAAGTATCTCCTGATTAAGAGATTATTTGCCATAACCTCAAATGCCTGTTGTGTGGATGTACCTATTTAAGATGAGATGTTTCTTGGTGTGCTTCGTAATAGTTATCTTTTAAGGCTTTATTGTGATGTTGTGATTGTTGAATATGCTGAATATACTATTTAAAGGACCTAATTAGTGATTAAGGTTGAGTATGCTAACTTCAAAATATGTCATAGCTATTTAATGCATCGTGGTTGACATAATTTTAATTTGAGAATGACTTGAGTTGTGTCAATCTTCAAATTTATGAATCATATGTGTCACATTGAGATCGTATTTCATCATTGCAATGGTAAGATAATTTGCTTCATGTTTCTCATTGACATTTCTTTTGTGAAGTTGATGAATATATCAACTAGGAAGGAGTAAATTTGGAGTCCACATTAGTTAAGTCTAATCATTTTGATTAGAAAGGTTGGAGAATTAGAAGAAGTCATGGGGAGTCTTCAAGAAGTAATGGGTAAGTACCCGTAAACATATGGAGAAACCATGCTCTTGTGTTTGTACTAGTTTTGGAGAGAAGCAAGTTAAATTTAAGTCCTTATTTGTGACCTATCATATTTGTGAAAGTTCGTTAGTTTTGTCTAACCATAATAATGTTGACTTTCCTAAAATTGATTTTCTATTCATCATCTACTTCTTCTTCTTTGTTTTTCTGGGTTTGATTTTCCTAAAATCGGTTTTCTATTCATCTTCTTCTTCTTCTTCGTTTTTCTGGGTTCGATTTTCCTAAAATGATTTCTATTCTTCTTCTTCGTTTTTCTAGGTTCGATTTTCCTAAAATCGATTTTTCGCAAATCAGAATCCCTAGATCTGTGTTTGAGTCCCTCGATGTCAGCCATGAATGTTTTCCC